TCTTCATTTGAGGGTTAAATGAATGCCTCTCTTCGTAATTTTCATTTAGGACAGAAGGGCCTTTCTGGATGATGCAAATTCATTAATCCATGTCCAGTGCTCCCAGCAACCCCACGCTAAGGAAAAAGTCCATTTCGGTTTATAAACAAGCCCACTTTTACTTACGCACAAGCCCACCACATTCTACAAGGTACCTGAAAAGTTGTGTCTGCAGCTTGGGGAAATAAAGCTATCCCTCCCACGATTTCCCTCTCAGATACTGTCCCTTGAGAGAAACAGGAGGCTGCATAGTGAAAACAAAAGTACAACTGGGCCGCACCCATCCACATGTGCACCCTGAGATATGTGGCTTTCTGAGCACACTTTAAATGGCCTCCTTTTCTATATACCTCTACTTACTCCTACCCATCCTAAATGCATGTGATTTTTTTCAAGGTTTCATTTCTCACCTTTGAGACAACACTCTAACGTCAGACCACATTTTAAACTCAATAAAAAAATCAGAGACAAGTAAAACTCTTTCACAGTCATTTCCCTCTGCCTTAGTGCTTGCTTCAGTCTTGGTTGAAAACCAAGCCCACAGCATTTAAAATAAGATTTATGAATCAGGTTCTTCAGGATAAATGTTTTGCAATGCACCAGTGGTTAAAAATTAACTCTGACAGGTGTAGAAGGGCAGGGAGGAGAAATAGTCATTTATTTTCCACTCTGGGCTTGAGGGTGCAATATTAGACTTCAATTATGTAACATTAATATTTCTGAATTATACCCATGAAACCTGAAAAATGCAAATACATTTAAAATGGCTTTCATTCGAAAGTGCCCCATGACAAACGGTGCTGCTTTTACCTTAGTTGCCCTATGGCTATCTACAGTAGCCACCTCAATACTGAGAGGGTAGCTATAACCCTTAATGAGTCAAGAAAATCTGATGTTTGGCCTTAAATATTTTCAAGTCTTTTAGTAACAAATGAAACTGCAAGCGATCAACACAGTTCTGAGCATGGACTCTGCTTAATCCTTCAAACCTCAGTTTCCTTTCATACAGGGGAGAATCCTTACTTCACAAGCTTGCTAGATATATCAAATCGGCTGGTGTGAGAAAGTTCTTAAGTTTATCATAAGACAAAAAAATTTCATTTGGATGGTTATCACGCTGTAACCCACTCTATGCTAGGAAGCGCTCAAAAGAAAATGTAGTTGCACAGGTGATACTAACAACTACAGAGCAGTTAATTGTAAGCGAACAGGGGGCACAAACATTGAATGGGTTGACAATTTACGGACAAAGCAGGAGGACCTACTTGGGTGCACATGCAATTCACAGCGCTCTGGGGCCACTGTGGGCTGTTGCACATGTTGTGCACTTTGCAAAGGCACCTGGGTAAGGTGGCAGGGGGTGCTGCTACTGAAATTCTAGTTATTCCACTCACTAATAAAGGGCCTTACATAGAGGAAAGGGTCTCCAAGAAACACCTTCCTGCTTTCCCAGCGATGCACTGGGGGTGGAGGGAGTGGGGCACCGACAACAACTGACCAGCATGCATGTCTCTTTCAGATCTACATTAAAGCTCCTAGGACTCTCAGAGGCCTGGCTCTGCTGACTAGGAATATGGGGGGTAAGAGGGGTACATGGCCTCAGAGGATTCAGACAGTATTAACTCAGAATAGTGGGTGGGGGAGTTGGAGCTGCTGAGTTGCAGAAGCCAGCTCTGGCAGGGCCTTTAAAACTAGAGACCTTGTATGGGATCCATGAGCTTCATTACTTATCACCTTATTTAATTCTGCACAGAGGCATTATTCCCATTGCACAGATAGGAAAACTGTTTGGAAAGGCTGGCCTACTTGATGCATTTGGCAAGGAAAGCAGCAAGAGTTGAGATTTAAACCGCTTTGCCTCTTAACAGTTCTTTCCACCATGTGACTAATGGAGTAATTCGGGCCTTATCCCCAAAGCTAAAACAATCACCATGTGCCTCTTTACTATATGTAACCCTTGGGAGCGAACTTCATGCACTGCTGCTGGCTGGAAATGTCACAGGACTTTTTGACTGGACACTCACATCCACTACCTTTTCCATGAAAGTTTCAAAAATGAGGGCAGCAGACACAGCGGCAGGCTGGACCCCGGGGCAGTCCAGATCTAGCACACACTGGCTGGGTAGCAGCAGCTGAAATCCTCAGCCTCTGGGAGCCTCGGTTTCTTCGTGTCCAAATGAAGAGCTGGGGCAGTGCTTTCAACTCTAAATTGATGCTTGTTATGACACTGTCCCTGAAAATATTTACTCCTTTTGTAAAGGCTCGTAAAAATATCAAGCCATTATCTTTGTACTTTGCAATTTATTTTGAACACAACTTGAAGGCCCTGGAGTTGAAATGCTATTTCTCCTCCCACTATTCAAACTGTACTATTCTTTAAGGCCCATTTCAAATCCTGTTTCTTCAATGAGTTTTCCTGCCTACTCAGTACCCTAAGAAGTCACCAGCCACTTCTCTCAGATTCCTTTTATACTTATAGTACATGCATTCCCACCTAGTATTTAGTTACATAGCATTTGCCGATGGGTCTTACTTAAATTGACACTTTTCCTCAAAGCAGTAGTGTTGCCTATCATCTCAAGTCCTACCCAGTCAAAACAAGAAAGGATGTCCCTCTGTCAGGCTTCCTCTCCTAAATATCACTCAAATACTCATTTTCTTTCCACAACAATAAAGTTATTGCAAATGAATGATTTATGACTGTTCCCTGGAGATGCACTGATGTTCTGCTTCCAAAGCCCTCTGGGTACCAGCACATGCCAGGGCGATGATGAAGGGCTCCACGCACAGTCGCATTCCAACCAGGCCTGAGAAATCATTTCTCTGACCCGGGTGCCCTGCCAATCATTTGCACTGGAGCCATTCCTGAATGCAAAGGTATTCAGAATGAGGACATTTCTCTGGGGATGGGAGCATATTTTCACAAGGGAGAGACGCTGAAGCATCCATTTAATTCGCAAGCATCCATGCAATTTCCAGAGAAGCAAAGAAATATGACATATAGGCAAGAATGAATCCAACCAGAGTTTACGTATTACTTGGATTCAATGATTTTGGAAGGACTGCACGAATTCTGGGCTAGTCTAGCTGATTGATGTTCAAGGCCTTATCTGTCATTCTTCAACAGAGCTGCCGGAACGAATCCACCTTTGGAATTGGCAAACTGGAATTCTTTCTTAGAAGAATATAGTTAGGTCTTGAGACACATCGAGCAGTGCGAAATGTGCATTATGAAAATGGTTGCAGATGATTTTTTTCCTTTGGGGGAATTAGGCTGAAACTGATAAAGACGTTTAACCAGTTCACACCAGTCAGACTCATCAAATTTCATCAAAATTCACATGGGATGTAGCCACATCTTCTGTAGAAGTTCTCAAAAACTCTTTGTGCTACATTTGTGAGTATCTGTCCAACTGTGTCTGACGTGTAGCTTCCATGTTTCCCCTCTCCAGAAGACCAGGGCCGCCCCTGCCATACACTGCAAGCAGAGCCCAGCCGGGAGACGCACTTCCCACACAACTCACAGGGAGCGAAAGGTCTCAGTCTGGACCTTTGGCCCAAGGTCCCACACTTTGTCTTGCTAGTTTTCTTCCTTCCCCACCCAGGAGACATGTTCCGCACCTGCTCTGTCCACTCACCACAGGGCACGTCTCACCTCGCCGCATCCTTTCCTACTGAGCCCAAAGGCAGCTTCTGAATACCAACACAGAGCTCCAAAATCTAGTCACAAGTGACCCAAGCAGTCACATGAGTCAGGCACTCCCCAGGACAAATTTTAGGCCGTCTACTGACAGATTTCTTGATACAGTTCACCTATAGACTGAGGAATCTGGTTATCCGAGAGATGTGATTTGGAGTAAGTGGAGCATGCCTTGCTTGCCTCCTCTACACATGCTTGTTTCTCTTGCCCCCCTCACCTTTGGAACTCCATTTGCGGCCTGTCCACAGAAGCCCCTCCCAATACCTGCCTCGTGAGTGGTTCCCTATCCCACCTTTTACCCCATCCCTATAGGTGGGTTTTAAGCCTCGGCCCTCTCCTCAATCAGTCTGTCCCAACCAAACACAAACCACCAGGCCTGGCTATGTAACAACCATAAAAAGGTACAACTTCGTTGCCACTGATAAATGGGTCCCCCCCATGCCTGCTCATCCAGAGATAAATTTGGTAATCTGCATGAGTTACTTATAATAAATAATCACATCATGATGTGTTATTAAATCCTAGGCATAAACGAAGACAGCAGGCAGCATCTTCTGCTGGTCTTGAAAGTGCACTTCACTTAGAGGTCCCCATCACTACTCAAATGACCAGCCTCTCTCAGCTAACCTTTAGACAGTGCATAACAAAGCAAGGTTGTTGAGACTTTCCACGGTAGAAGAAAAATACATCGATTTAGATTAAATCCACTGCTAGCGTGGTCTACACTTCCTGCTTTGTTTTAAGTGACTAATTGAAAGCTAGCCTGCTTTCAAAGAAGTGTCTGGCTTGCTCTAGCTTACTGCAGTGAACACCCTGGTTTCATACTGCTTGCATTATTGAAAATGTTTATTTTGACAGACATTTCTCGGCATACCTGCTTCCAAAAACCGCATTCCAAAATACTTTAAATTATATAGTAATTATAAATCCCCTACTTTATAAGTATTAGAAAGAAAAACAAAAATGTCAACAATTAAAATGAACTCCATAATTAATTCAACAACCAAAAGCATAAAAGTTGAGAGATACAGAGAACGCTCCCAAGAACCCTCCTCTCAAACCAAGCGCTTAATCCACAGATATGAAATCCAGGTACTATTTACCATCTACACTATCATTCCGGTAATTTTTTCCTTTAAATCCCAAGGTAATATGGTTCTTTATTCCACAAGAAACCTGTTAAGTCAGTGGAGGTCTAAAGCTACCATTTCTCAGGATTTTAAAAATAAACGAGACATTTTAAATGTTGAAAAGGCTTTACCTGGTGCAGGCTGTCGTTCATTCCATTCAGTTGCGATTAAAATTTCTACAACTTTTATGAGGTGTTCCGTATTCTCAGAGCTTAAAAAAAAAAAAATGAAAAGTTTTAATAGAAACCATTTCCCTGAAGCACAAACCCATATTTATTTATGCACATTCAAGTGAAGGTGTCCGGTGTAAATATGCTTATGCATCTGTGAACTGACACCAGTAGAGTAAGCTTACTTATCAATTTAGCACTACCCTCATCACCCCAAATGCACATTTCTTTCCATTCACTTACCAGGCTGCTGGGAATCTGAAAAGCAGAGGGCTGAAAAGTTCAGAGAGTACTCTTGCATTCAAAAGATTTTTGCTGGAGATTTGAGAGAGCTTGAAGAAATGTTTTAGCAAATACTGAAGCGTAAGCCAATACTGATGAGGTATATTAGGCGACCTAATGAGTTTCTTCAACAGCTGGATATAGTCTTCGGAGCTTTGTACTTCTAGAAGGTTTAAAAAAAAAAAAAGGCATGAGAATGTGTCTAGATATCAGTGAAAAATACCTAGAAAATTTCTTCTAGCTACAGAAAAAGCACTCACTTAAAACAAAGTCATCAGAAGTTGCATCCAGGACATTTGCTCACGTTAGAACGGGTGTTGTGAGAAAGTAGAAATCTCAAGTCAAATGGAAATGCAAGAAACTCTTGTTATAAAAAAAAAAAAAAACCACAAAAAGTTCAGGGTGTACCGGCAGAGATCTGCCCTCTATTGAGCAGCTTCAAATGAGATTGTGATTGGCTAATTTGAAGGAGCATCAGATAAGTATCGCAGGTTTTTAACTTTGAAGGTGACGAACCACAATTTCCTGTGCCCACAGCACTTTAACTGAGCATTAGCTCTTAAAACTGAGACTCCTCTTCCCTCAACACATTTTGTCACGGCCACTCGAGGAAGAGGATAAGAACATCCTCAAGCATAAGTCCAAGATAAGAACATCCCCAGGAATGGGTCCTAGTCTGGTTCCCTGAAATCAATGGAACACTGTGGCCTTCACTGATGTAGTGAACTTTGTTAACACTGATAACGGTTAACAATTAGCCATTTCAACATGTGGACAGTCTTCCTAAGCAAACGAGAATCTGGGACTTCAAATTCTCTACTAAGGAATGGAATTTGTGCTGCCAGCAGGCGGGGGAGGGTCTCTTTCTACTAATAGTTTTAAAATCTCTCTCCATAGGTAACATTTAGTAGCATTTACAAACATATCCACATCTCAGTACATGCTCAATGAGGTTCTCGAAGAGAAAACAAACCTGGGGCTAGAGAAATCATTTCACTGTAAATGGCTACCGGAATGACAGGATTTGGTAAGTCCAGGAGATACCGTTTGAAAGCGTCTGCTAAAATTTGCACATCGATCATTTCCAAGTCCACGGACGCGGCATCTATGACAGAAACATTAAACAAAAATTTCAGACATTTTCTGAAGGTTTGACTTAAATGTGACACACGAAAGGAAACAATATGAAGACAAACCAAAGATACTTGAGAATTTATTAGCAGAGTTTCTGACAGGGGTTGCGGCTGGCATTCTGAGTAGAATCATTTTTCTTTGTGGAGATGTGTCCCCCATACTACAAGCACTTAGTACAATGGTCCTGCCCAGGATGCCCGGAACATTTGCTCAGACTTTGGAGCAATAAAACATTATTCTTAGGGGCCAAGTGTTGTGTCTCCCCACAATTCATATGCCGAAATATTGAACCCCCTGCACCTCAGAAAGTAACCATATTTGGAGAGAAGGTCTTTAAGGAGATAGTTAAAATGAGGTCATGAGGGGGGGCCCCCACTCCCACCTGACTGATGTCCTTGTACGAAGAAAGGATTTGGACACATGGAGATACACTGGAATAGCACGCACAGACGAAAGGCCAGGAGGCCAGAGGGAAAAGACAGCCATGTACAAGCCAAGGAGAAGGCCACGCTAACAGCCACACCTGCCTTGGTCTGACACTTTCGGCCTCAAGAACTGTGAGACAATAGGTTTCTGTTTTTTAGGTCACCCACCCTCTATAATCTGTTGTGGCAGTTCAAGAAAACACAAAGTCCCCAAAATATTTCCAGATAACTTCTAGAGGGTACCCTGATTGAGAAGGATTCTGCCTAGGAATGGCTAATCATATAATAAATGCTTCCTAAAACTTCAACAGGAAGCAGGAAATACAAATTCCTAGATTTCCTAAAATCTGAGTTGATAAAATACTGTATCTCAGAATTAATACAAATTTAACCTAACAGAGAAACTAATGATTAAGCAGAAAGATATTACAGAATTTTTAGCAAGAATATTCATACAAATAATTGAATATCTTTGGAGCATTTCCTTCTGATTCTGACAGGGTATTTCTAATTTAACTTATGGGCACTGAGTTGTCTGGAACAAAGATAAGACAGGCACATCTATCCACTGAGTCCTTCAGCTGGAAAAGAGGCCAGACGATACAATAATAGTGTGCATTAGTCAAAACCACTCTGAGTATTTGGACAGAGAAAGGCACAGTGCCCAGCAGAAAGAAGGGACATGGGGAACAGAGGTCGGGGGCAGCAATGACCATGGGCACTTTCAAGTGGGAGAGGCATTGGCTGATGCTGAAGGAGGTGATTCTCACAACATGAAGGATGACTTGAGAGTAAGAGTTGTGTACTCCATGAAGAAGAGGTGGACTGATGAGCAAAATGCTACATTTTCACAGCTTTATTGATGCCAGTGTTAGCAAATAAGTTGGAATGAAGTTTTGTTGAAAGCAAAGATACGTTTTTGATGGTCTGAAGCAAAATGACAAGGTCTGAATTCTAACACAGTTAGAAATGTGTGGGACAGTATGAATAACTGAAACTGCCTGGTGACTGACTTAATTGGGTTGTGGCTTAGGTGAGAACAATAGCTAAGTTAGTTTACCCCAAGGTATTTCAGCAGGAATAGGCAGGAGGGGGTGGGACCCTGGATACCCATAAACTAAATGTGACATTATAAATCACTCTAGGTTAAGGCTGAAGCTATAGAAATTCTTTGGACGTATCATTATCATAAAGCAAACTTACCCCCCTAAGACCCGAAAGATACTCACACAATACAGCAAAGCTCTGAGAAAAACCCATCTGGTATAAAATGTGGAAGGGTCAGTTTAAGAAAATGAATGATGACATGTAAAGGCTAAAGAGGCAGAGGTAACTTACTTAAATGTCCTACAAAGAACTCATCAGAGGCATGCCACCTCTTTAGCAAGTATAGGAAAGGTAAGACTAGATCTTTGCATAAAGGATCAACATTGAAAATAATCCAACTACTGATGTGACTCAAAATTGTGTGTCTAGCTATAGGAACATTCCACAGTCACCAATTTTTGGCAAGCTTCTGGCCCCTCCATATACCTCACTCCCTGTCTGCTTCAAATAATACACCTCTCTGCCCAGCAAATAAATATGATTTCATATCCTAAACAAGTATAACAACCTTTAAAAAATGAGACAGTAGAAACCTCAAGACACGAGAGATTCCATATGCCTCCTGGGAGGGTTTTGTTGCCTTCTCTGTGAGAGCAGGCTAGCCAGCCAGGGTGCTCTCTGATACCATATAGACAGGATGGTAATTACCTGTCTCCTTAGGAGACTGAGCGCCTCAAGGGCATGGACTGTGGCTCTGACCTGCCCTCCTCGCATCCCTCGGTGCTCAGCATGTAGAATGTGCTTGTGAAATGTTCGTGGACAGAACTATAAAAAGTCCTTAGAGTAATTAACCAAATTCACCCTTCTCTAACTTATGAGGCATCCTCTAGAGACTTTTTTAGTCATTGAATGCAATAACCCTATATGATCTTGGGATAAATTCATCTTATATTAAATTCCACTAGAGTCGAGGACATAGTGTGTTCTATTTTTTACTGTAACTTCCAAAGTTCCTTGGGGCTTCTGACCTTTGTTCTCCAAGTCTCTTTTTCTGCATTAAAACTACTTAAACATGCTCTTCTAGCGCTGACTTACAGAAAATGACTTTTGAAGCTAGCTAGGTAAGAGCTACGTACTCTTGAGGTCTGGGTTGAGAGATTTTACATCCTCTTTCACCCTACCTTTCACTGAGGATACTCATGACATGGAAACAGTAAATATTCTGCAACTTTTCACCCCTCTTCCTGCTAGAATGAATTTCTCTCTCCAATTGATCTCCATTTACATTAGTAGTTCTCAGTGGCATTTTTACTTTTACTGCCCTACCCTTACCCTCAGGAGAAATCTGGCAATGTCTGGAGAAATTTTTGATTGTCACAAGTGGGGGAAGATGCTACTGGCACTGAGTGGGTAGAGGCAAGGGCTATAACATCTTACAATACACAGGGAACCCTCCCCCCCGACTCCCAAGTCATCCAACAAGGAATTACTCAGACTAAATTGTCAACAGTGCTCAGGTTGAAAAAGCCTGATTCAGTTAAGAGAAACAAAAAAAGTATCAGGAGAAAATTTATACCATTACAAGTCAAATGAGACAAGAAAACAAAGAATTCATTTTAATGTGCTATAGTAGGGGGGAAAAAATAAAGACTTTTGGAATCAGAACATTTTGGATGCAAGTCACAGCTTTGCCACGGAGAAGAAACCAGTATTTATATCACAAGGTTAATATGTGGGCAAGATAAAAGAACTTAGTAGGTGCCAATAAAGGGGGGCTGTTGTCCCCCATGTCTGTCCTTTTCAGACACTGGCCATTCACAGAGCTTGTTAAAAGCTATGGGTGTTTTATAGTGGGGGTTTTTTTCTTTTCTTTTCTTTTTTTTAAATATTAAGTGATTTATTTCTGAGCTTCCTCCAGGATTATTTTATAATATTTTATGACCTGAAAAATCCTCAAGTTTGCAATCCTCAGGTTGCAAACAGTCCTGGAGATCTATTTCTAAATTTAGATAATGTTTACTCTTTTCTGGCCACAAAATTCACTTTGATAACACGGAGTCCAAATGAAACCAGTTTTCTACATGTGTTTTGATCTCAAGTGGAGAAGGAAAGCTGTCAAAGTCTATTGCTGACGTGAATTTGGTTTTTTATTCCATCTTACCAGTGGTGTGAAGACTGTTTTTTAAAAATAATTGCATCATTTTGTATTTGGTCACATTTGCAAACTTAACCACTGTTTCTCAAATAGCTCCCATTTCATCCGTCTCTGATATCTAAGCATTTCCTGTGTCTTCTAGCATGTACAATTTGACCAGTTCTCTGACCAAAACATACATATATATATTTCAATTGGCTAAGGACAAAAGTCTGTGTTTTCTTAACATCCCGGTGAAACTGTTAAAAATAAAGAAAAATAACTCTTTCACCTTAAGATTTCTGCCAGTCAGTTTCCAGTGACCTGCCCTGTGGATGGGACAGGAGACTCAATAACAAAGAAGACAAGCCTGGTAAGTGTGTGAGATTGATTTCCATGTACAAAAGAAAAATAAAAGTTGAAAACCCTTTTTAAAAGCTTCAAGCATGTGGGTGGTGCATTTCAAGTGAAACTATTTACAGATAAAGATCTAATCTCCTTCTTTTTTTTCCCCAGAAACATCTTTTCTAGAAAATTTCATAAGCTGCCTCACTTTGAAGTTGCCTTACACTTCAAAATTTCATTTATTAAGTATCATGTGGGCATTCTTTGCACAATTATACATTTCGAAGAGCGTCTTCCCAAACTGGGTTTTTATTCTTTGTGGTTCAGACATGCAAATTCAGTTAAAATATGTGAGATAGGAAATTATTATTATTTGTTCAGGTATTGGGAGGGAATGAAGGATCTGGGAGATTCTTTAGGTTGATATAGAACATGACCTACTGGGATGATGGCAAGGAAATTTATTCACACTTGAACAGTATTTTGCTGTTTTTGTTTGGCCAAGAGGGGAGGGGACAAATAATTGATGTCATTTAACCAGGGCTGTGCTAGAGCTGGTTTGTATTGGCACACAAGTGCCAACTGTGCTCAATTCATCGCTGACCGGTTTGGTAGCTTGAAACTGACCATAGTAGGACTATTTACACCATGGAAATGGGCAAATGCTAAAAGTTAGAGGTTTTTTTTTTTTCCCCCATGGAGTTGATTTATGAACATACTCTGAATATAATAATATCATGAAGTTGCTTAATGTAAATATGGCATGAAGAAGCAAAGAGAAGAAGAAGGGAGAAAGCAAGAACAAAATGAAAGGGAAAGGGAAAAGGTCAGAAGAGACATTTGTTAAATAACATAGACTTATAAACATTTTTTAAACTGATCCAGATGAATTTGATGCAGCCAGCTGCAGGGTCAGGGGAAGGTGGTAGGCATGTAGAGCCAGACAGATCCCAAGAGGCTGTATCTCTCCTCTGCAATTCCTGCAGGACCCAGAGGCTCCTGGGCTGTCATGACATTCAACGTGCCTGCAGGCAGGCATGCACACACACCCCAAGCCAGGAGACAAACATCAAAGGTCTGCAAAGATTTACACTGTTACCGTAATAGGGCGGAGGGAACTGTACAAGGTATCTGGGCTCCCTTCAAACTCAGAACGCAAGAAGTCTGAGTGTTTTTGTATTTTACCTGATGTAGAAAGGTAACAACTGTCCTTCCCATTTGTACTTCTAACTCCAAGACACTCACCACAATCAAGAAGCTGTCGTAATTCTGCTGGGTTGCTGGAGCTCTGTGTTCTGTATAGAGTTGAACATTCCAGACCTAGGACACAAAACAGACTGAGTATGCAAAATACAGCTCTCTGAGGACCTGTGAGCCTGCTGCCAGAAAGACATTCCAGTTTCCATCCAGTATCTATTCTAGATGTAACAAATATTCTTGGAAGTCAACTCCTACTATTAATCTTATCTGGCATGTCAATAATTTTGGCGAAATCATCCGCCCACTAAGGAGCATGTTAATTACATTTATTAAATTATGGAAAATATAATCATTTCCATACAATAACTACATGCTAATCTAGAGTTAGAAATCACAGACCGGATTATTTCCCCAGGACAGAGCTCCACATAGTGTGTGTCTCTAGCACAGGCAGCAAGAATGAATTTCATGAGCCCAAGAGATGGACCGAAATTCTAATAAACACGAAAGCCTAGGACAAGTAACTGCCTCCCTCTATCAGTCTGATTACCTTTCTTTTCAATGGCTTCCACTAGCTTGATAAGAAGAGGTGGAGCAATGTCAGGAGGAGCAAACTGTTCTGCAAGATCCGGAAGAGTCAAAGCTGCAAATAAACAAAATCCTATGATTACATTTAACTTAGGGGACATCGACTGCGTTAGAGAACAATGAAGCACACTGAAATACAAAATAATTGAGTTATGTCTGACAGTCATAAACTCAGGTCTGAGCAAGAGCAACTCCTGTGCTGGGCCTGGTGCTTTTGGAGGCTCCTCTCTGGCTCTCCTCTAGCTGAGTTCTCCCTCCAGTGTGATGAGTTTTGGGGGCTCGGTGGACATGCCAACTTATCTCCTAGGACACACTCAAGTAAACTTACCCAAAAGTCCTAGTCCCAGTGGCTTCTTCCCCAGGTCAATCCTTCTCACAACAGACCTTTGTGCGGGGGTGCAATCCTGGGCTCTGACTGGAGCTGAGACTGCATGGAAGGGAGTTTGGATGTCAAGACCTTGGAAATGTCAGGGAAAGCCAGGGACAGGCTGAGGTCAGCTCTCCCCTTAACACCATGCTCTGGGGTGGAAATCTGAGGGGCCCAGGACATCTAAATGAAAAAATTGCTTCCTGGTGATTATGAAGGACTGGACTGCCCAGGCAGGAGGCTAGGGCACATTCTAATGGACAGTTTGTTAACATGATTTCTAATTTAAACTAGTTAAGACACAGGGAGCTTGGGCATCCTTTTGTACTCTTGTCCCAGGTCCCAGAGGTGTCAGGCATGGGCCTAGTATCAGATATAGAAGCCAAATGAATGTCCACTGGCTGCTCAAATTAAATCCCTCTGTGGACCTACTATCAGAAACCTCGACTTTCATAAATTGGTTTTCCATGCCTCATTTACATATCCCACCAAGCGCAATGATACAAAAGAACAAATCTAATTGGATGCCATTCACAAATAATACCCTTTAACGTTACATTGACTGTATTCTCACTCCAAAAATATACGAAACCATTTTAAATGAAAATATCTTTCTCTCAATACCAGAAGAGGGAGCTAAATATATTCACCTCAAATTTCTCAAACTGCAAAGGATAAGTCGATGATAGTGTTTATGAAATTACTGCATGTACACACTGTTCATTAGTCATCAGTAAACAACTTTTCAGACACTGAAGGTTTATCACACTGTGCTCTTGTCTAAGAACAGCTAATAAAATGTAAAAAAGATTAAATATTTATAATTGGACCCAACGAGATTTCAGTGGCATGATTCCTTATAAGCCATATATCGCATTAAAGCAAATTTATAATTAAGATCCTCTTAATGAGTCAGCATACAGCGACAGAGTCATGATAAAAGAATAAAATTATGTTACTAAATTCTGCCCTCAAAGAACTGAGGATGAGTTATGTCACTTTGCAAACCCTAAACCCTGTCGTCTAAGACCTTTCCAGTTTGCAATATGCCCTGTGATAAACAGTTACATGTGATCTTGTGACCTGACTCAATTAACCACTGCAACTCCCAGGATCAAAGAAGAGCTAAATTATGAAAGACAATTATGCAGCAGCCTTGTCCAACAGAACTTTCTGTGAAAACAATGTTCTACTAACTGTACTATCTAATAAAGCAATGACCAGGCACATGGCTCATGAGCATTTGAAATGTGGCTATTGTGAGTGAGGAACTGAATTTTACATTTTTATTGATTTACATTTAAAGAGCTCTAAAGAACTATAAGTGGCTACTGACCAAGGCATTGGTAAGCACAGTTCTATAGGCTAAGCAAGGGCAAATTTTGTCAATAGCAGATGAAAGATTCGTGAGTTGGCTTTGTGCCACAAAGACCCCACTCTAAAGCTTTCCCCGAGGACAGAGCATCTGACACAGGGCACTCAATATCTGAACTCAGGGCATGCAAAGTTTACCACTCAGTTCCCTGTATGACTGAACACATTTGGACTTCATAAAGGCAGGAGGATGTGCCACTCTTTCTGGAAATGGCTGCGCAGAGCTGGAGGGGGGGGGCACTTTCTCTGGTTGTTTCCCACACTGCCTGAGCCTGTAATCATCTGGAGAATATGTTAGGAATACATGTTTCTGGCTACCACTGCACACCCCCAGAATCAGAAGTCCAGGAATGATGCTTATAATCTGTTTGGGGTTAATAATTTTCAGGACGTACTATTGTGACAAACAAATTCACACGAGTGACTTCCTAAAAAAGTCTAGCAATACCAGCCTCCAAATTTCTAAATGTTAAGAGCATTTAAAAGATGAAGACCTTGAGAGGTTCAAAGAATCTTTTTAATTAAAAACCTTATAAAATAAAAGAAGAAACACCATAAAGTGAAAAAGCATGCCGTTTTATTTCCTCTGATAAAAACTGTAAACTCATTTCCCTCTGCCTTAGTTTACCAAGTGACAAAAATATCCTCTCCCATAAATGACTTCTACACTGAACAAAATGAAACATCATCCTGTAAGCACATGTAATAGCAGGAAAATAGAAAAGAAGAGAAATATCTTTAAGATCAACAGCAGTATCTCTGTAGCCTACTCAAACTTACAGGTCTTACATGCCAACAGGCAAAAACAAACAAACAAACCTAGAGACTCAATAATAAATATACAAACTTAACATATCCACATCACACTTCGATAACAAACATGCCCAGTTGCTCTTTCTCCTCCTCAAAAATTACACAAGCATTTTTCAAATAAAAGAAATCTTTAAGGTTGGCAACCAAAAATGGAATTACTTAACAAAGGCTAATCTCCTTCCAGAATCTTATCAAAACAATAGTTTCTGCAGGCAAATATGAAAGTTAAATTAAGAATTCATCAGATTGTGACTGAAATATGCACTGCACTTAGTTCTATTACTTCAACTGGCAAATACCACTTATAAAAGAGTTTCTATCTCTATTCTTCACTTCACACCAAAGAAGAAACAAAATATAAAACTTTCTCTCCTTAGTCTTTTCAATGCTTCTTAGGCAAAAAAAAAAAAAAAAAAGGGCAGTTATCTTCAGTGATCTTGAGCCAGAAATTAACATTTGTTTCACTGTACAAATGTTACATGGTGTACCTAAAAAGTCTTGTACTAGCTACCAGGTATTCGTAACAGGAGAACTTTTTCAAGCACTTTACTTAGGCTACATTAAGAGGAAAAAAAAACTAGCCATTAGTAGTCATTGTAACATACTGAGTGCATTTTCAACAAAATATTTAATATTGGAAAAAAGTCTTTACACCCAAATGTATGAATCATCACAACCAAGCAACGTTTTGCAATAAGTTTTAAAAGGTAAATTTTACAAGGAGAGATTTAAAAAAAAATAACAATTCAAGGATTTCCTACACCCTGGTACAATGTCTGTGATTGAATCCATTTCCCCTTTAAAATATGTAAACATAGGCAACGTGGGTGCCCTACCCAAGAAGTTTTTAAAATTCACATTTTCTACTTTAAGATCAATTAGCAGTGAAAGTCTAAAAAGTATTCCCAGGTAGAATGTTAAAAATTTCAACAATACTAAAATCAACTATTCCTTTTCTTTTTTTTTAATATACCAGGTTAACATTTGTTTTTCTATTAGGCTCCATTTTAAGGAATTCTAACAGGAAATGCCAATCGTTAGGAACTACCAAATTTGACAAGTTATTCTTGGAAAGCTATGACTTGGTACCACATCATAGAGCTCTATAAGACAAAATATAACAGAACTAAAAAAAAAAAGAAACAAGATACAGAGATGATCTGTGGAGCCTACAACATAAATCACAAACTAAGAGAGCAGGATCCTCATACAGTTTACATACATGTAAGTTCTCATCAGATTCTATTTTCCAGATAGATTTTTATACCTGCACGAGGGTTCTTTGATTTTGAATCCTGCTGTAGCCAGTGTGTAAGTCTGGAGAACCAGGTCTATTCACTCTTTAGAATCTGGGTAAATCTGTATAGATTCCTCTACTACAATCCAACACCAATTTTTCATTTGGCGGAATCATTTTTCGTCAAAAGGAATCAGTTTTACTTAAGGAAGAGAGGAGAAAAGAAAGAACAGTGGAAGGGTCTAAAAGTGGGTGAAGCCAGAACATGCATTGTTTCAGAAGAAAAGAGGAATCAATCTTCAACACTGACTAGATCCGGTATCTCCGGTTGTAGCAAGAATTTTTGATGACACATCAGATGCTGCATTTTCCACTGTTCTATTTTCTCCTCCTTGCCCTGGTGACAACCAATCACCAGGGAAGTAAGAGAAGAAAGTCTTCTCCAAAGTTAGACCCTTCCCAAACCACTGGCATGGACAGGCCTGCACAGTCCCCGGGCACCAGCGGTGTGTGGGAGATGATGGCATTCCTCGAGTTAATGGTGCCAGTTCTGCTGCAAAGTGCAAGATGAAACCAGCACACAGCTGCACCTTTTGGAGACGTTCTCCATTTAAAAAAAAAAGGATATTTTAGAGTTAGTGCCTGGCAGGGACAAGTGGAAAGTTTAAGCTGAAATTCTGGGACTCCAGTGACTGTGCAAGCCAAGTATTTCATTACTGATGGGAGCAGTTTAAAAGTGTATGAAAAACTGCCACTTACCTTTTAAAATGTAATCCAAATACACAGAAAAGAAAGCATATATGCAAAGTGTGGATAAATATTAAATCAAGATGTTTGTTTATTCACTGTTGCTGAATCAAAGCTTTATTTTTGTCTGAAACAATCTCTCATTATTTCAAATGAAAAATATACATGTTGGTGGGCAAAAATTTAACAAATTCCAATACCTTTCTTAAATAAACCTTACAGGCATGTTCCTACTTTCTACCTATAAAGGTTCATACTGAGTTGTTAAATTTCATAAGGTATATGGTCAAAAACCCTAAAAAATGTGGGAAGATGAGATAGCTAAAAACACTAAAAAACAAAGCACCCCCTCCCCCCCGATTATGGGTTTCTTAATTTTGGAACATACCTGTCTAATCTTCAGTCGAGTAACGATAATAAAAAAGGTTTATAGCCAAAGATGCCTGCTTACATTTTAATGCTGTTTTTACCACTTACTGAGTATAATCTTGGGCATGTTAATTAACTTGAATCCTCT